CAGTAACGAGGACTCAGACCCTGCTTCTGAATTTTCATCGCTTCACGTCTCATAAAAACCCCTACCGTTTGTTTAAGCCACCGCTTAATGACCCCAACCGCACCTGAGTCAGCGCTTGGGTGGGACACCGACGGCGATGGCAAGAACCTAGCAATGAGTTCTCAGCATTCACCAGCATCCAAGTTAGGTACACCTCCGCACTGAGAGGCTACTGAGAGGCTACTCAGAGGACGCGAATCCGAACACTAACTAGGTATCTCCCATATCTTTCTCATTCGGTGGGGCATAATCTATTTGTCATGTCCGATCTCATGCAAAGCAAACAACGTCCATCCCAACTCAAGACCTGCAGCTGATCTGGCACGAGAAAATTCACGCATGTACGCCAAATGTAGATGTAACGCCCGAAAGTGTTGATCAGAGAGGGGGAATATAGCACCAAGATAACGGCTTCCTAGCCATTTCGGGATGCGTGGACAAATTGCACTGGATCACTTTCCTTTGTCGAACATCCTATGTGAAAGTTCCACAGATCACACAGGTCTCAACAACCAAGGGCAGTCTGTCACGTTGGATAGGAACTCGCCGATGCAGTTGCACACCAGAGTGGCACAGCATCCCTCGTTCACTCCTCCTCAACCCGTATCCACAAAATTCGTCATCAGGGTCCTCGGAACGAATTCCTTCTCGTCAAACCGTTACGACATCCTCCACTCCACTCCACTACACAGACTCCTCAATCCTCAATCCTCAATCCTTGGATCTCTACCAGCCTGTATACGTTTGTCTCGCGTCACGTCAAGCCACGCGTATAAGCGGTTGGATGTATACACGCTACATAAGCGAGAAGCGCGCAGGATGGGCTTCGGCGAAGACAATGCACATCACCCCAAACTGCCATGTCCCATCGTGACGAAGATTGCACATCTACCATGCTTCGAGACTGGAATCGCTAGAAATCCCTCACCTTCTAGCAAGCGATTGGAGGAACACACAGCTCGTCCAAATACGCGAACTGTGCCGCAAATCCCTTAAGCAAGGAGACCTCTCCATCGAGAAATTCGCTACCCAAGAACCGGTCTGTCCATACACACACACACACACATACACATACAATGGCCTTATACAAACAGGCCCCTTCCAAAGGGCTGATATGACGACCGGGGGTTGGCGTTATGCATAGACGCGCGCTTCCTATCAGCATCTCGCGATCCCCGCGCTTCCTCCCATCCTTCCATCCTTCGAATCCTTCCAAGCCCTGTTTTCATGGACTTGGGGGGTACGTACGTTGCCGCGTCAAGCGACGTGCAGCTCCTATTCCTCCGGTGAGGTGTATGCAGGTAACGCTCATATGCACGCGATTTGTGTGGCCGCCACAGGCCTATCTTTTCCCTCGATCGGCTGTGGGTGCCGGAACGTGTCGAAGCCATGCTTTCAAACGTCCCGCTGTGCGGATCTCTTCATCGGGATGTGAGGCTTGCTCCTCGCCTACCCTAGGCGGTGGGATGGTCGTGGTCAGGCTGGTTGCTTCCGATGAGGACGCGAGAGATGGTCACGGTCAAAGGAGCGTGGAGACTACTGCGCCGCAGACATACGTGTCGGGCTGAGGACTGGGTTGAGTACTTCCTTGTTGTGGTAAGGAGAGCGCGATGGAAATGTCACCTGCGAGCTGTCACGTCTGCGTTGGGAAATTCGCGCCGCATGACTAGTTCAAAAGAGATATATGTTGTGGTCTGCTATGTGCATCAGAGCAAGGTTCGAGGGTGGTGGTCTGGGGGTAAAGCTCCTAGATCCCTTGGACCCGGCAGTCGGAAGATCGCATTCGTCCTAGTTGGGCGAGAAGCTGACTGAAAGGGTAGCTATACTATGATAAAATGCGAGATAATGCCTATTCGGTGAGTGTAGTTAACGACATCCTATACTACATTGAGCTCTCCCTAGATGGTCTCGTTGGGCTCCACTGCTGCTCTCGACTTGCTTCACTGTCGCAGCTACAGCTGCCACAGGATGGCGTTAAAGCCGCAGATTTTCGGATCGCCCATTGTTCGTCGTTCGCTCTGTTTCTCAGGCGATGTCATGGTGGTATTGCAAGGGTAAGCGATAACGTCTTGATCTCCACCGGTCGTCAACTCCTTCCTCACCCAGACTTAGCTTAGCGTATTGCGATCGAGTGACCTCAGCTGCATCTTGAATCCTTTCGTATCTGCATATCTTCTACATCATGCAAGTATCATCATATCGGTCATGTTGCATCAAGGAATGATCACTGATCACTGATCGGTGATCTCGTATGTAGGCGATTTCGATCATCTAGGGCTTCGGAGTAGGCCATATTCCAAATACTTCCGATGGTGATCTACATCTGCTATGTCTGGAAAGACGCATCGCTTCGAGATGTGTACCTCATGACGCCCATCCGTCTATGTAGCATTTTCACACCATCCTACTCTGCAACAACCTTCCCATTCTCCTTTCCGCCCTCAACAGCCGCTCCACCCTTGAACTTGAACCTTTTCAATCCCCGCACACCAACATTGATCTTGAAACAACTGCCTGCATGCTCATCAACCGGCCCTCCGTTCTCTCCACTCGTACCGCCAGAGCTAGTAATGAAGAGCTCTTCGCCAACAAAGCAAGGACATGTAGGTTGGCTGGTCGGCACCTTGATCTCCGCCACAATCTCACCTTGCGGCGAGATTCTCAGTACATGCCACCCACCGTGAAGAGCAGTCCACATGTAGCCCTCCTCGTCAAGGCAGTGACCATCCGGCACAGCACCCTTTCCATAGCGCTCGTCCTCTGGCATGGTGAAGTACGGACGCTTGTTGCTGATCTCGCCTGTCTTGGGGTCAAAGTCGAACTGCCAGATGGTCTTCGTAGGGCTGTCGGCAAAGTACATGGTATCGTCCTTCTTGTTCCACGTCGTCCCGTTCGGGATCACGATATTGCTCATCGGGCGATCGAGACTGCCATCAGGGTTTAACCGAAACACGGCGCCGTCCTCGCGCCACTCAGACACCATGGGGTCGAACATGAAGCCGCACCAGAAGCGGCCTGCAGAGTCGACAGCGCCGTCATTGCCGCGGAAGTTTTCGTGCTTGTTAGCTGAGATTTCGTCTTCAGACCAGACTTTCTTGATCCATCGGTATTCGCCGGTTTGCTTGTTGGCGATGCCGTAGCCGTATTTGCCGCCGAAGATGAACTCGGAGTCATTGCCTTCGATGTCTGCGGTGGCGCATACGCATATGTCGTAGTCTTTGACAGTAGTCAGGCTGGAGGGGCCTTTGGCCACATCCACGCGGAGTAGCTTCTTCTTTTCAATGTCCATGAAGCGAATTGTGTTTGTTTCCTCTTCCCAGAAGGGGCCTTCGCCTAGGGAGTAGTATGTCTTGAGCCATGGCTGGGTGATTGTTAGTGAGTGAATTCCTCTTGGAAATGGGAATAAGTGTCGCGTCGCTCTTATGCGTCTTGTGAGCGATAGGCCAAACATAAAGTGTAGTGTTGCGATGCTCAAGATGCGGCTGTATGACCTCAGCGGGGCTGGGCCACCCAAGTACCCCTCCTACGCCACCTCGAGGAAGGCACCCCAAGGAAACCAAATCCACGTACCTCTGTAATCTCATACTTCTTGATTCCAGACATTGCTGCAAAAGTCTCTGGGGCCTGGTTTGATGTAGGAGTGTCGCTCTCTTCGGCCTTTTGTTGGCTGCTGGCTTGTTGATGTTGTAGTGTATTGTTGTTCTTTCCCGAAGCGCCCGTCACGGCGGCCCTCATCGAGGACCACAATTTGGATAGCGTCGCTCCCATTTTCCGTTATGACGTCCCGATGAGCCGCCAATGAGGCTAGGAAGACCGTTGCTCTTGCTCCACTGTTTTTTGGACGGCTCCCGCGTTGAGTACACCTTCCGCTTCAGCGCGATAATGCAACGTATGTCAATGTCTGTGAGTAGTAGGGAGAATTGAAGAATCGCTGAGTATTAATTGTACTAGACGTGGAGCAAGCAGGAATATCTCCATTAATCACGGAGCTGAGGAGTACATATGTTGGGTACTGCACTGCACTGACATCTTGCACCACCTCAAAGGATCGTTGCCATTCGTGCGGTTGCCCAGCGGCGCGCCCTGACCTCTGTTGCGCATTTCAGCAGGAGCATTGTCTGGCAGAAACGGGTACAGAAGCAGTATAGTGAGCGGTATTGCTCAGTGCTGATAGAATGTAGCGTTTGATGAGGCGATGATAACGGTATTTCGCCGGCTAATCGGTCCGCCACCGCCTACAGGAAGAAGCTCGTTTGACGATGCTGCGGGAGTGTTGTATCTTTGTTCCGGCTGAACTGGGCTAATCTCGACACGGCTGCCGTTGTCACGCGTCTTCTGGAACTTTATGTGGAAGATTTTGATTGATTACTGAGGGGCGTATCGCCTGTAGGTGATCTGGCCTGTTTGTCTACCTCCAACGTTTTGCACGTGCCTACAGAGTTAGGGGGGTTGACGTGCCACGCAGGAGGACCTGCGGTACCTATCTGCCTCCAACGAAAAGTCTGTTAGCATCAATCTAAAGTCGGCCTTTTCTCCGTTTCGCTGGACATCCTGACACCAATAAGCCCAGGTTCGATAAGCATCATGTTGTCAATGCATTGGCGAGTGTTTCCAACGAATACCCAACACCGGAAGTCCTCTTGCGCTCGACCGAGATTGCAGGTAACGGTTGAGACGCATGCACATCTATCCGAAGCAGCAGTGGACTGATCATACATCCGTGCTGCTTCAGCATGACGTAGAAACAACATGAGGGAGATCGCAAGACTGTAGCATGTGCTGCGGACGTGGAACTGGTCATCTGCACATGATCAATGTGTACTCTACTGTCTGCTATCCAATGAAAAAAGGTCCCAGTGACCAAACGCCATATATGCAAGTCAAAATCTATGCGCCTTCCACCTATCCCCTAAACAAGAAAGAAAGAGAATATTCCCAAACAACACTCTCCAAGTACCCCATTACCTCTTCTCCACAAGCAGCAAATGCATAGCCGCATACGCCAGCACCACAAACGCGCCCGCAAACACACCCAGCCCAATACAATCCTTCCACAGCGCCTGCGTGTTGAAACCAAACGAGCTGAGGATAGCGGAGCCTGGGACTTCAATGTCAAGGCCGTATTTGTGGTCGATGAGGGAGAGGTATTTGACTTCGTTGACGATGAGGCCTTCGAAGGCGTAGTGGAAGATTGAGAGCTGGGAAGCATATGTTAGCAAGAAACGACTTATAGGTAGAATGGGAAAATTGGGCTTACCGATTGCAGCCACTTGGCTATAGCAGGAATACTCTCTTTGTTGAGAAAGAAGCCAGAGAAGAGAAGACTGAATAGCATGACTAGCACGCCGATCAGGTTGGCGACGCCTGAGTTGCGGAATACAATTCCGATGAACAGGAAGATGGCTGCGGCTGCGAGGTTGAACAGGACGAGGAAGAGGGTGAACTTGAGGAAGTTGGGCCATGCGGGGATAAGGCCAGTCATGGGGTACACGATGATACCGAGGATGATGGGTGGAAGTAGGCGCAGGGGAATGATGTCGAAGATGACCTTGGCGGCGAAGTAGGCGGGTGGGGAATAGTAGCCCTTGGCACGCTCGCGGGTGAAGAGGAGTCTTTCGGGAGCGAAGACGGTGAGGATGGTCAAGCTGCTGAAGCCGAAGAGCGACAAGACGAACAAGAATAGACCGAGACGGTTCTGGAAACCCTTGATGTCGTCTGTGAGACCGTAAAAGAGGAAACCGAGGAAAACGGCAAGGACAATGGCGATGGCGTAGTGGGTAAGCATGAGCATAGGGTTGCGGTAAAGGTTGCGCCAGGTTCGTCGGGATAAGATTCTGAACTGGCCAAAGAGACCAACTTTCCTGAAGCCCTTGAGCTTCCCTGCGGCAACGAAACCATTTGGTTGTTGTATTCCGTTGGTGCCGTTGGCTTGGTTTGCGCTGGCCACCGAGCTAGCAATGTCATCGCGGATTCTAGCTGCAATGTCGGAGGATGCATAGGCGTTGATCAGGAGGTCAAGGTTGGTTCCAGTGGCGCCATTGGCAGGAGGCGGGAGCTCATCAGGGTCTTCGAGTATCTGAGGAGGCACGCCACCTTGCTGACGAGTGAGCTTCATCCATTGGGCCTTGATAGCGCCTCGGCGGTCGTAGGGAGCTTCGTCATCAGTCTTGGGGGATATCGTACCGTCGTTAACAGAAGCAGTGTTCTTCTTCCTCGTGAATAGCTCGCGTTCTTGCTGCTGCTTGATAGACGTCCTCCTCTTGCTCTTGGGTCGCAGTATGCTAGAATTGCTGGGACTACCAGCAATGTCTCGTTCAAGCTCCGATGTGTTGATGCTAGGAATGGACTTGACAGCAATTGCACTGCTTGCGCTTGTAGTGAGTCCGTCGCGGTTGAGATCACGGTTGAAGAGCGAGCTGTCTTCGTCGATGGGCTTCCGTGCTGTGCTCGCGTGCATGGTCAGATCCACGATGTAATCGGCAATGTTGAAACCAGGTGGGCAGGTGTAGCCGAGCTCGTCGAAGTAGTTCTGACAGTTCTCGAATGGTCCAGAGTAGACAGCTCTGCCCTTCGCAAGCAGTATCAGTTGGTCGAAGAGAGCGACAATGTTGGAGCGTGGCTGGTGAATAGTGAAGACGACAGTTCGGTTGTAGTTCTTGACCAGGTTGACAAGACACTCGACGACGTTGAAAGCATTGTAGGCGTCCAGGCCACTTGTGGGCTCGTCCAAGAAGAGGATGCTGGGCGAGGTAACAAGTTCGCAGGCAATACCGACACGACGCTTCTCACCACCGGAGATTCCACGACCACTTTCCTCAGAGCCAATCTTCTGGTTGCGGATATGGTAGATACCGAGTTGGCGTTCGACGTCTTCTACCTTTTGCTCCTTGGAAATGCGACTCATCTCCTTGGGTAGGCGCAACAATGCAGAGTCGAGAATCGTCTCGTGGACAGTCAAGGTAGGCAAAAGGGTGTCTTCCTGGTCGACGAAACCAATGACGCTTCTGAACTCGTCATCGCGGACCTTTTCGCCATTGATGTAGAAATCGCCACTGTCGGTTCCAATCTTCTTCTTGCGGGCCAGAATATCAAGGAATGTAGTCTTTCCAGCACCCGAGGCACCCATGATGGCCAAGAGCTCTCCGGGGTGGACAGCGCCAGAGATGCCAGACAGAATCTGCTTTCCTTTTAGGTTGTAGGCGACGTTCTCGAAGAGGAAGGAAGCTGGCTTGTGGTCGGCGAGCAATTTCGCATCCTCGTCCTCCTCATCGTCCGACAGGTGGATGGGACCGTATCGATGGCTCTCAGCGCGGTGGGTAATGTACCAGATGGCCAAGATGGCTGCCACGATGAATAATGCGATTCCTGCAATGACGCCAGCGATCAACGGAGTGTTGATCTTCTTGATGGGTCTCTCGTAACCTGGCACTTCCGTCTGGTATAGACACTCGCCCGTGTCGCATTGTAGGAAGATGCTTTCGTCGCCGAAGATGCTCGAGATGAGGTCGTTCATGGCAGGTTCCGAGAAGATGCTTCCGCTGTCTTTGCTGTTGATAGCTGAGATGCCTCTGAATTCAGCAGGACCCTTGATGGACTCCTTCAAGAAGTCACCAATGTCAACAGAGCCATCCTCTCCGCAGAGCATCCTGTCAGGGACACATTCGCACTTGATGTTCTCGCATCGGTATTTCGTGATGTTGCGGTCGGATTCGGCGGTGAAGTGGGAGGAGCACGTGTCGAGGGCGCAGTAGAAGGATTCCCTTTGGTCGACCCAGACTGCGATGGTTAGCTGGGAAGGAAGGGTGGAGGGTATGAAGCTTACATTGAAAGTTGCATTCCTCTGATTCGGCATTGCAAGAGAAGGTCGCCTGCGGTTTCTTGTCCTTCAACGTGTCGAGGATCTTTCTGTTGGTAATGTCGCAGATCTGGAAGTTCTCCTTGACCAGCTGGCCGTCCTTGTAGCAGACGCCGCCCTCTCCATCCGGCATCATGGCGTTGCAGGCATCGTTGGTCTGGCAGACGTTGCAGTTGATGCCAGACCAGCCCTCTGAGCAGTCGCACTCCTTTGCGCCTCCGCGTGGTGAGCGGTTCTTGCCATCGGGCAGGGCGCCGCAGAGGGGCTCTGAGCAGTCCTCGCCTCCAAATCCGGGTCCACAGTTGCATCTCCCGTTCGCTTTGCTGCAATCGGCAAACTGTTTGCACTTGAAGTCTTCCAGGTTGCAGTTGAAGCATGGCGGACAGCCATCGGGTCGGTCGCCGTAGATGGAGAAGAGATCCTGTGGCGAATCGGCGAGGGTGTAGTTGGCGAACGTCTTGTGGGCGGTCGCCGTCGATGCTAGGCCCAGCAAGGCGGCGAGCGACGTCGCCCAGGTCCGTTGGCGCATCGCGTCTTGTTTGCGGCGCGGGACGAGCTATGCGATAGCTATCTAGATAGTCGTGTGCCTGCTTCTTTCGAGAGTAACGTGACGAGACGGAAGGTGACTGTCAAAGTCAAAGGAACGGCAAGAGCTGGGCAGCTCGCGATGGTGACGAGGGACAACAGGTAGCAACGGGTAGCCAGATGATGGCAGTGCTGCTATCATCGGCCTGCGGCGACGCTGATTCGTGGAGGCTGGGCTGTCTCCAGCCAAGCACCATGGCGGACCGCTAGACCGAGGCACACGCCAACAGGTGATGCAGGCAACATGGTCCTCGTCATCATCGATATCTCGCACAACATGCAGAAGAGCATTCATGGATATACATCACGCGACTAGCAGCCTCGTCTCTAGCAAAGCGACGATCAACGTGATCGCGCGACATCAGCGGCGACGCGCTCTTGCCAGCCCAACCTAGCCGTCGGAGCGCTCTAGCAACTAGCTCGCCCGCTTCAGCGGAACCTCGAGAGGCCATCATGTGCGCCCTATGTCAATCCCCAGAGCTACCTTAAGACATAAAAACTATACCGTCTAAATTTTCTCTGCGCTCTTCCGCACGTCACAGATCTCCTTCTATCTCACAAGCCAGAATGGTCAAGATTGAAGAATTCGCCGTCGAGTCCGTATGGTATTCCCCGCATCTCGCACTCCACGTGGGGAGATGACTAACATGCCCAGTGGATGGATGCGTACGAGACAAAATGCAAGTACAACATTGCCGAGACGTGTTGCGCCTCAATTTCCGTCGATCAGCTACGCGAGCTGTCAGAGAACAAAGATCAGCCGGTGTTCGACACCTCACGTGTCCTGAACTACGGGGCTATCAGAGGAAGTGACGACCTGCGCAACAACTTGGCTAGACTATATTCTGCCAAGGTCACAAACCCCTTCTCTCCAGATAACATCCTCATCACTCCTGGTGCCATCCAAGCAAACTACCTGACTGCTTACTCCCTCGTCGGACCGGGAGACCATGTCATCTGCCACTACCCCACCTACCAGTCCCTTTATGAGGTACCCAAGCAACTGGGTGCCGAAGTCGACCTGTGGAAAGCAACGCCAGAGAACAAATGGGTACCAAGGATCGACGAGCTGAAGTCGCTCATCAAGCCCAACACCAAGCTCATCATCATCAACAACCCAAATAACCCCACCGGAGCCATCCTAGGCAAGACCTTCCTCCAAGAACTCATCGACATCGCGACCGAAAAGGACATCACCATCATGAGTGACGAAGTCTACCGCCCTCTATTCCACTCCATCATCCCCATAGACAAAGAATTCCCACCCTCCCTCCTATCCATGGGCTACAAGAACGTCATCGTCACAGGTTCCATGTCAAAAGCCTATTCCCTCGCCGGTATCCGCATCGGCTGGATAGCATCTCGCAGCTCTGAAATCATTGAAAAGCTCGCTTCAGCACGGCACTACACCACAATTTCCGTGTCCTACTTCGACGAAGCCATCGCCGCCTACGCTCTCCACTCATCAACAGTGCACAGTCTACTAGCTCGCAACATCCAACTCGCGAGAACCAACCTGGCTCTTCTGGAAAAGTTCCAACTCAAGAACGAGGATGAGTGCGAGTGGGTGAAGCCTGTGGCTGGCACTACGGCTTTCGTCAAGTTCCACCGAGAAGGCAAGGCAGTGGACTCTGTGGACTTTTGCAAAAAGTTACTGGAGGCTACGGGCGTTATGTTTGTGCCTGGCAGTACTTGCTTCGGCGATGAGTTCAAGGGGTACGTCAGGATTGGGTTCGTAAATCAGACGGACATTATTAAGGAGGGATTGGATGCCGTGACGAAGTTTATACGGAAGAATCTCGATGAGGTAGAGTTGGCAGGGTAAAGTAGTGTATAGTCAGTAGCAAATGTTTACATCAAGTACATACAGTTTGCAGATCGCTGGTCGGTCCGAAACAGTCACAGCCACAGCGCCACACTAACCGCAAGATTGGGGTCGGCTAGTGGACTCAGCCCTGTGGACGCCTTACGCCCGTCTCACAGACAGTGAGATTTCACAGCCACGACCAGTGATCAACATGCTATACCCTACCGATACTATATGGATAGTAAGCGCTGTGATACAATGAAAACCTGTTCTTCTCTCATCCCACCATATACCCTCCCCACTGTCCCCATCACTCCATCTCCGCACCTCTTCCCCTTAAACTACATACACATCATTCCCACAATGACAGACCCATCCAAACTTCAAGTCCCAGAAATGTCCACCGAGAAGAAAGATCCTACCACACCCCTCGTAAACGTAACAAGCGCATCCACAACCTCCACCTCCACATCCACATCCAGCTCAAAACCCCTTACATCAACACCAGAACGTCCCTCCTCCTCACATTCCTGGCGGTCAAAACTGCACATCCATTCCGGTTCCCGCCGTTCCAAATCCGTTGAACCAGGGAAGGAACGTTGGCGGGATGCGACGCTGCCTGAGAAGGAGCGCTGGAAGGATTGGCAGAAGGCTAAGGATAAGGAGCAGATGGCCGGGTAAGTGGTTGTGACCGGAGAAATTTAGAGGGGTATGCTAATATGGAGTATGATAGGTCGACGATAGGTGCATACACGCAGTTTTACAAGGGGAAGGGGAGTACGGGGTATTGGGTGGATGTGGGGTTTTGAGAGTGCGGAATTTTGGGGTTGGACCCAGCATCAAGGCAAAAATGGAAGATAAAGGCCGTCTGTTTCCAGTATCATGGTACACAAATTGTGTGGACGACATGCCCAGGTGGCGTGGAAATGAAAGAGGACTGTGGCACGTAAGAGAGAAATACACACTGCGATTAGACTGTCTAAGAATTCATAAAATGATATCGCACTCACTCAAAATCTCGAGAATCATTTTGTTAAACATTCATCGCTCGCTGAATAGTTCCTGTTTGCCTCCTTGACAACGACCACCGAGAAACAACGGGAAGAATGGAGAAGGGGGTATCATAACATGCAGCGATGCTCAAGACATCTACAAGGGGTATAATGTGAAGGGAAGGAAGTGTGACAGCAGGAATACAGCTTGCCGTAGCCGAAAACCGAAAACGCGAGCTTGTTGGACGCTATATGTGATCGCGATGTGACAGGGTGTTGAACGCTGTCATGGCAGTCGAAGACTTTACCAATGTGTGTTGAATCGATGAGCTTCAGGTGCTGTGTATCATGGCTGATCACGGTGTGAGACCATGTCGAACACCTCTTCCTCATTGTACGGGCTCGATTGCGAAACCTTGGCCCAGCCTGTTTTGTCCTTGGTATGCGACATGGCAGGCACGACAGGCCTATGCCTGGTTTCTGGATCTGGAAGGCATGGGGGTTGTGATACCGGGTATGACCTCTATCGACAAAGAGATACTCCAGAAGCGACTACCACCTTGCCGGCTCATCCGGACATGGCGATGAGAACATGAATGTGGTATGCTCAGGAAAGTCTTGGTTGCTTCGATGAAGTCGACGTCCACTAAAGTGGCCTGATTGATTCCTACTCGATCGAGGACGGCGCCGGTGTGGGTAGCTATGACTGTTCTCGGCATCTTGTCGAGAAAGATGGGACCTCCGGAGTTGCCTAGACCTTCCTGTTAGCATTTCTCCAAAGCCTAGATGTATCTCAGGGTTGGCACTTACCGCTTACGGTCGATAGCTTATACTCTAACAGCTTTTCGGTCGCCTGCTTAGCCTCGCCCACCACTTCGTACATGCATCCAGCTGTCTGACAATGTGGACATGAACCGCGGACTTGCTTTTTGTTTTCGCCAGGATAGCCTACGACGAGCACTCTTGTCTGTACCGGTAATGATGGCGCCTGGTACAAAGCTGGTGTGATCTGCGTGAACTTGTTTTCGAGCTTGATTAAAGCCATGTCGTTTTGCGAAGCGAATCCAGAGCGTTTCCATTCTTGAAGCACTATGGCGGTTGTTCCGAAACGCTGTTGAACACCAGTTCCTTTGAACGAGGAGCCTTGACGGTGGTATCCAATGTACGCCTTGATAGATACTGCTCGAGAGACATTGTTCTCTCCGCCAGAATTTCGAACGTTATGTGCCGCGGTAAGAACTAGGTCGAGTCCTATGAGGACTCCCGAGGCATCGAACTCGTGATTGTCCTCATCCAGTACCTCAAGCTTAACGACGGCTATTATAATTCATCAGCGATGTTCCCACTTTGGCAGCTGTAGTCACTTACATCGGTAATCTCCGTTTGCAGATTTGTACCGGGCTTCGTCCACATGAAATCGAAGACTTTTCTTGACTAATGCCTCAGTCCATGGCCCATACGAGGTGAGCTTCCAAGCCTCCAACTCCTTCCAGACTGCGGGTCTACTGTTGTTCTTGTTTGGTTTTGGGCCTCCACCACGGACGGAGGAGGCCCTTGGGGTCGGGTGCGATGTGGAGCGAGACTTTCGCATGCTTGGGGAGCGAGGGCGATCGCGTATGACGTCAGTCGTGGGCGGGCCTAGAAACAGTAAAGAGGGAGAGGGTATGTGCAAGGCCTTATATGCCAGGCTAGAGGGGCTTTCCGCCGGTATTCGGTAGCATCGTTTGTTGTTGACAGATCGAATGGTCAATATAGCGTTGGGCAGTTGCGAGAGTGGACGAGTTGACGGTTCGAATACCCGCTCAATATTTGTTCAGTGCTCCATGGACCATGGAACGACGACCTACGTCAGTCGGCGTTGTGGCTGTGATTTTGCGCAGGGGGGCTGGCCCTAGTTCTAGATCTCCCATTCGTTCAAGGTTGTATGTAGTCACGCTGCAGGCAGGTCAGCTGGCTAGTTCTGGACGCAGGAGTCTCTCTCAGCCCTGTCAGCAAATCCAGGCCATAGCACAGCCACGAGTGCCTGCGTAGACAATGTTGACAAACAGGCGGAAAGCAAGATGTGGAAGAATTGGACAGGAGCGAAAGCGTACACCTCGTTACTCATCGTCATCCTGAGCGGGTGGCAAGAAGCATTCGATCCTGCGTTTCAATGCACCAGACGTACGTTAGAGGTTTATCGACAGCATTGCGCTTTGCAAATAGCGCGGGCCCGGTATCTTACACTATTCTACAGTTGCTTGCCGTTATATACATATCTTGTACATGATATACTACCATGATTCGTAATAGATCGTGTGCCGTCGTATCAACAACGGACACTTCCAAGGTCAGCGGGAGTTGTCGCCACCCATAATGCTAGCGCTTCTTCGATCTCAGCGAGCTCGTAGTTGTGAACACTAGGAACGACTTCCTCAAAACATTTCAGAGTATTTCCCTTGAACGTGTGCGAGACGTCTTATTCTTCAGGTATGATTCGATCGACAGCTGTCTTGGTTAATATTCATCTCAGGATTGTGATCACATAAACATACCTTTGCCGTTCTCGAGCAAGTACCCCGAGCAGTCAATCTTCCACTCATCACCCCTCACCTTGACCTTCGCAATGCCAAACCTTAGCACCGCGAACTTGAACTTCAAAAAGAAGTTAGTCCACTTCTGATGCACCCACCGCGCAGAACCCTCCCACACACGCGCCGCAATGTTCAAATGTCCCAAGTCATCCCAAAGCTTCTGCCGTTTAAATCGATCTGCCTCGAGCAACTCAGCCACCATGGGCTCTGTCTTCTCACTTATTGTCGCTTTGCCCAAATCCGTGTATATGACGCGCTCTTTCAGCCACGGCACCGGCTTGACTACCAGGCGCAATTGCATGGGCCCGCCCTGCAGACTAGGAAGGATTTCCAGTGCGCGCATGCGGTTGCTGGGCGCGGTGCAGATGTAGCAGCCGATGATGATGAAGCCCACTCCTACCACGACATAGGTCGGTCGGACGAAGAAGGATAATCCATTGTCTTTGATGTCGTCATTGAACTTGATCGAGAAGGCACCGACACCAATCCATAATGCTCCTGTTCCATACACCTTCAAATAGTACCACTTGTTCTTGGGCGCTTGGTAGAGGAGGACTGGCTGGCGGGTTTGGACGACTTGGCGGAGGACGGGGTCGCTGCTCACGAATGAGCTGGGTTTCGGTGCGACTACATTGGTCTTGGGATATTGGTAGCGTCGGAGCACGGAGGATGTGAAGGAGCGGTTCTGCCGTATCGTGCGTATCGTGGTGGGTGTGAAGAAGGATTCCCGTGTTCCGAAGAGGGCGGCGCGGAGGGATGAGGGGAGGCGGAGGGTGTGTTGGCGCAGGAAGGCATCGAAGCCCCGGGAGAAGGCGGGCATTGTGAGTGCAGTGGTATGGGGTTTCGATACAGCGCTATAAAAACAGCATACTCTAGCAAGTCAATGCGGCAGTATGTGGGCGTGGATACCTGGATGCCGTCGCGATATGTCGGAAAAAGTCCAACTAGAAGCGGCCCAAGCGCGTCCCGCTCGACACCTCCGAAGCTTGTTCCGCCCAACATTTCGGCCAGCAGATCAGCACCGTCGCCAAACACCCTCCCACTGCCATTGACTCCGTCCGTCAATTGACCTCCCCATGGCTTCGCTCGCTGCGGTATGTAGGGTCTCGGCGCGGGCTGCCTCGCAGCAGTTGCGCAACCAAGGTGCTCGGAGAGGTATGCACTCAAGCCAGGCTTCGCTCGCTGCGCAAAGCTTCAACATGCCTGCGCTTTCACCCACCATGACCGAGGGCAACATTGCGAGCTGGAAGATCAAGGAGGGAGACTCTTTCTCCGCCGGCGACGTGCTGCTTGAGATTGAGACGGACAAGGCGCAGATGGACGTCGAAGCGCAGGATGACGGTATCCTGGCCAAGATCACTGTACGTGGGAAGATATGTTGGCTTCAGGCCATGGCTAACACGAACTCCAGGTCCAAGACGGTTCCAAAGCAGTCCAGGTCGGCACACGGATAGCCGTCACAGCAGAGCCCGGCGACGACCTGTCCACCCTCGAGATACCCGCAGAAGAGAGCCCCGCGCCCAAGAAAGAGGCCGAAGCGCCCAAGGAGTCCAAGAAAGAGCCTGCGCCGGTACCAAAGGAGGAGCGAACCTCTGCCCCGCCTGCCAAATCCGATGCCTCGAAGAAAGCTTCCGCCGGCAAGGCCTCCAAGCAAACCTACCCGCTATACCCCTCCGTACAACACTTGCTCGAAGTCAACGGTCTGCCAAAGGAGGAGGCTGATAAGATCCCCGCGACTGGTCCTGGCGGCAGGCTGCTCAAGGGAGACGTACTCGCCTACGTTGGACAAATTGAGAACTCCTACCCTTCAGAGCTGGCGAGTCGCTTTACTAAGCTATCGCACCTTGATCTCTCCAACATCAAGGTCATGCCCAAGAAGGAAGCATCAAAGAAGCCAGCAGCCAAAGCACCAGCGGTTGTCGAAGACCTCCCTATCGAGGTAGCACTACCCGTCTCCCTCACCGCAGTAATGGAGTGCCAGAAGCGCGTCAAGGACTCAATAGGCGTCTTCCTTCCTCTATCCACATTCGTCGCGCGCGCAGCCGAGCTCGCCAACGAGGATCTCCCCCGCTCGAAGATCGCAAAGCCAACCGCCGACGAGCTGTTCAACGCTGTGCTTGGTCTCGACAAGGTATCGTCAAAGTACTCGCGGGGCAACTTCATGCCAGAAGTCACCGCGCTACCACCCACCACCATCCCCAGCAAGCGCGCCCCAGCACCAAAGTCGGACATCCTCGACATGCTAGCCGGCAAGAAGACCTCCGCTAAGCCTGTTTCGGGCGCAGCAGGTGTCGCGGGTCCCCTCAACGTATTCAGTGTGAGCGTGCCCAAGGGCGACGAGAAGCGCGGTCGTGTTTTCCTCCAGCGCGTAAAGACGGTGCTTGAAGCCGAGCCAGGGCGATTGGTCGTTTAGGTGAAGATCGTTGCGCGATTTGTATCATATTGCATCTCTACCTACCTGTTTGGAGGGTAGAGGTACCGGCAGGTAGCCATTCCCACTACACTTCCATGACGAATACCAATTTTTAGACGAATGCTTTATACTTGTTCCTCCCATCGCATGCATGTCCTGGCCTCATCATTAGGTTATCCCTCCAAGTTGAGAAGTGACACGCGCGGTACTTCCCCTAGAGAAACTACTCACGCAACCCCCTCACGTTTCCATTCTATCCCGCGATTCGCTGCGCGCATGTTGTTCTTGACGATCTCATCATTTACCGGCCTGGTGTGGACAGTTGTGAGGTAAGGTGTCGGGGTAAAGTAAAATGCCGCAAAGCTACCGCGTCGCACCAATGCAAAATACCGCAGTCTACTTCGGCGGCTGCGCCTCGCTCTAGTCGTATACATATGAAAGACTGCCCAGAAAAAAAAAGGAACTTTGAATACATTCTTGATCCTTTGTACTTGCACATTCGTTCCTTCTGTATCTGTTGCTAACAGTCACGCCCGATGCGGTTAGTGCGATGGGTCCCATGAGTGCCCGAGCGCCAGAAGGGAATTCCGTGTCGCTTGGGCTCGCAGCGGCAACAATCTTGGAAGGATGTCACGCACTGTGATTCACAAACTGGAGTCGGCAAAATGTATGATGTGGTAATCTTCTTTATTATATCTAAGGATCGTAATGCACGTTGTCGTGGTCATGTCTAAGCATTCTATATGACTAACTTTTGTGCTAGGCAGGTATCATGCTCGCGAAGAGCAAGAAAACCTCCTCGCATACTCCTAGCAGGGCCTCCTCACCCTGCAATATCTCACTTTATACAGTTCCTCCATAGGTAAGGCTCTAAGCCTTCTCGTGCATGTTCTCGCTACCAGCGACAGAAGAGTCGCGGCTGTAGTAGCGACCAAAGGTACGGTCCTCGATGTCCATGTTCTTGTCGACCTTTCCATTGCCGTGCTTAGCAGCCATACGGCGGAAGTAGACGCGCTTGCACCACTTCCAGAGCTCGATACCGGCAAAGAAGATACCAGTCTCGACGAAGACAATACCCCACTCCCAGTCGATGGGCGCGTGCTTGAACACAACCGTGTTGAGAACAGGGATGTAGATGAGGGGGAAGAGGAGGACGAAGCCGATCATAATGGCCCAGAAGAGGAACTGGTTCCTCCATACATCAAGCATCCACTGGGTGAAGTAGCGCTTGCTGCCAGGCTGCATGCGGAAGAAAGAACGACGCATGTCAATCATCTCCCAGGCGAGGAAGAGAGCGAACCATGTCAAACAGGCGAATGTGCAGGCGCGGGCACGGAAAACCAACTCGCACTGCTCGGAATAGGTCTCGTTGCAGCCCTGGCCGAGCTCTCCGTCTCCGAATCCGAAGACAACGAGCACGAAACTGGCCAAACAGAGAAGCGTGATCCAGAGACCATAGACGACCATGTCGACGAGGAACTCCATGGTGAAGATACCTGTCTTGAGGGACTGGGGCGGGCGGTTCAGGATATCGGGGACGGCGCGTTCGAAACCGAGACCCATGTCTGGCAATCCAGATGTGGCCATGATGATCCACACAACCTG